TACCTCGGGAGCTTGATCGCAGCTGGTGGTGGTGTTAGGGAAGAGATCACATCACGAATAGTGTAAGATAGAACAGCTTTCGCCAACCTGTGACACCTGTGGCGGCGCCATGACATGCGACTATCCCTGAAGGGAAGGGTGTACATCGCCGCAATTTATAGCATCTTGCTTTACAGTTGCAAGCCTTACCTATCCGCGTTGAGGATGCTAATCGAATTTCTTTCGACCACCGAGGTCTCCGAAGTATTGCTAGTGTCTGGTGGGAACATCGGATGAGCAACGACGAGGTCCGACGTCGTGTGTTGGGTGTGGATAGTTTTCCTCTAACAGAAGTAATCGATCTACACCGCCTCCGATGGTTTGGTCNATCGACTACCTTTCCGTGCTCTCTTCGCACGTACCGGGCAAGGCTGGAAGAAGCGGCGCGGCGGTCAGACTATGACATGGCGTGGAGGTATGAAGAAGCTGGCTTCACCTTTGGCTTCGGTTGGTGCAGCCTGCCTTCCAGGTTGGGGCCCAAGGGATGAGGATTGTCGTTGGTTAGAGACGCTGAGAGATATGGCCCGGAATAGAGGTCAGTGGCGCGAATGCTGTACGGTGTCTGTCGAAATCCCCATAAAAAAGACAAACTAACACAAAAGCTTCAAAAAGTGTGCGGTGAAACACAAAAAAGTTGCCATTTATTTATTTGTTATTTTCCATTCTAACAGTTACGTCTTTTTTTCCTATGTTCTGTATCCCAACCTCCCCTCCCGTTACTGTTATCCTTATTGATGTTTTGGCATTAGCACCATGCCTGTCCGCAAGCCGGTGTTAATATTTATAACATATACCACCGAAAGTCTCATTATGGTCGCGGTTGGTGCCTCTGGTTGTGACTGACCAATTTTCCTTCTGAACTACACGAAATGCTTCCATACAGCAAAGAGTCTCGAATAGTCTCTGCTAAGGAAGCCCTACTCACTGCCTTCCTATGTTGTAGAGGTGTTTTACCACCAAAGTGAAAGGGCGAAACGTCAATATCCGAGGTTATAACCAGGGTGGTGGACCACTAGTAGTTTACCTAGGGGAGTTGGATAACAGGGTTTGCTCGAAACCAACCATGAAGAAGCGACCAAACCAACCACACCTTTCTAGTCATGATACTGGTCACCGGCTCGACTAGACATGGAGGTGTATTGGGTACCTTGGACGTTTGACCCCGTCCAAAGGACGTATGGTCCGATGAACTGGACATGAAACCCCAGTTTCTATCAGTTCAGTTTGTACAACCATTAACCACGCACAGTCGTACATGTCTTTGGCTGCCCATTTGGATGAAGAATAGGAGAAGAAAGGAAACTTCAAAGTGGAGTCGAAAAGAAAATGGAAAATTTCAGTGGACTAAGGTTGCAAAGAAACTGAGAAGATGCACGAACGCCACTGGTTGCGGCACCCACCCACATCACTCAGAGTTTCTAACCATCGGTTACGATCATCCCGAGGTCCCCAGTCAGGGAGCCTAACAGGACCTATGTGACCTTCGGTTACGATCATCCCGAGGTCCCCAGTCAGGGAGCCTAACAGGACCTATGTGACCCAGTCTCCTGGTCAGGGTTTTCATACCCTTGTGCCAGGTCTTAGCTTGACCAACCTTGGTTTTTTTCCACTCGGTATCTGCTTCGGCGAATATCGCTCGCCGTGGTAACCTATCTGGTGAAATGCGTAACACATGTCCTAACCAACGTAATCTATGGAGGTCGACCACTTGCTCCAGTGGGCGATCGCGGATACCCGAAACTCAGGCTACCCCACCAGATTCGTGCAATGCTGCGTAGACAGCGGTGTTCGAACACCGACAGTCTATCTTTATTCTGTTACCTTACTGGCCAAGTTTCTGCACCGTATAGCAGGACTGGCTGAACTGCTGGAGCATACACTCGACTCTTCACAAAAAGCCGGATGTCGCGACAGCGCCACAAATGTCTCAAGTTGGCAAATGCCAATCGAGCCTTCTGTATGCGAGCTGACACTTCATCCGTGATGCCTCCACCGAGTGAGATGTAGCTGTCCGAATATCAAAACTTATCCATCTGCTCTATTAATTCCCGAGTTAGAGTGAGGCTGGGTGCTGGATCAATCCAGTCTTGTAGTAACATTTTACACTTTGAAGGTGCAAAACGCATACCGAATATGGCTACGCTGGAATTCAAATTATCCAGAAAAGCTTGCAACTTACCTGGATCGTCACTGAGTAGTACAATGTCGTCTGCATACTCTAGATCAGACAGTCTGCCACCTGGGAGTAAATCGATACCGGTATCCCTGCACGAGGATAGGGCTGTTTCAAGAATTAAATCTATGACAAAGTTAAATAGAAAAGGAGAGAGAGGGCAACCCTGTCGAACACCACTTTCCGTGGTGAACTCGGGTGAAAAAGTGCCGTAAGCTCGAACTCGACTTCGGTTGTTATTGTAGAGGGATTGTAATATTGAAATAAACTTCTCGGGCACTCCCTTCAGGAAAAGGCAGAGCCAGAGTTTAGAGCGATCGACTGAGTCGAAAGCCGCTTTCAGGTTGAGGAAGACAGAGATGGTGAGCCTATGAAAAGAATGTCGATGCTCCAGAATTTGGAGGAGAGTGAAGATGTGGTTGATACAACCTCGATCGGGCCTAAAATATTGGACCCCAATGGACTACATACTCTAAGCTCCGTCCTGCTGTCTTGCAGGCCTGGCTTTCTAGCCAAAGGCTTCGTTTAATTCCCTCCCTCGGTCAGGGCAACCGGAAAGTGACATGCCCACACAACCCATGAACACATTCCACAATTTTTTTCTCATATTTCGTGGCACATTTGCCAGTTCTCTGTAAGAAGTTACGTGTTGAAATAATAGCAATAAGTGTGTTGATTTCTCATCTTCTTTCAAAAACAATATTTTTAAATACATTCTATAAGTATTTCTCCCCAAAGGTCAAGCGTATTGCGCCATAGAAACACATCTTTTTTCAAATATCTTCGTATGCTTTTCAATCGTTATCGTAACTTGTTATATCATTTGTTATATTATACTATGTTATACTATTTCAACACGTGTCCAATTACAGAGAACTGGCAAATGTACCAAAACATATGAACAAAAAGAAATCTGTAGAATGTGTTCATAGGTTGTGTGGGCATGTTACCCGGTTGCCCTGACCGCGGAAGGGGATAACCTCGGGATCCCCACTCGAAGACTTTGGCTAGAAAACCAGACCTGCGAGATAACAAGACGGAGCCCAGAGTCCGCAGTCCATTGGGGGATGGTGTCCAGTTCACTGGACCACGCCTAAGGTGCCCAATTGATCCGGTGACCATTGTCACAACCAAGGTGTGCGTGTGGTTCGTACGCCTTTTCTTGGCTGGTTTAGAATTAAGGTTTTTAGCCAAGGTGAACTGCGAAAAAAGGTTAAAACAGGAGTTGAGAAGACTGAAGCAAGTCTTTCCCAAGATTCATTTCAAAAGAAATCTATAACGCAATACTGCACAATTCATGCCCAGAACGATTTCGCTGCATCTGTACATGATGCATACCGCAGAAAACACAATGTTTACGTAGGGCTTAAGCATGGTAACACAAAAAAGTAAAACACAGTAAGAGAGATAAACGTAAAAAATTAAGAACAAACCAGCATCAAGATTTTTTTGTTGGCACAGGGGGGAGGGCCTTCAATTGGTTGATAGCAATCGCTTCTTCAAACCTTAGCAATCTTGGGATTCATGAATTATAGACAATTCGAAACTTTACCCCTCTGTCCCTTTTATATTTGTCGACGTAATTTACTTTTGAGTTGTTATGCCAAAACCCTATATAAACGTTGTGTTTTCTGCCGTATACACCATGTAGAGATGCAGCGAAATCGTACAGTGTATTGCGATATGATCTTTTCTGTTGAAAACGTGAACTACAACTGTGTTGAGACCTACCATTCTACTAAGAATTCCTTTCTTATCACACAACCTTGTGTGATGAACAGCAGACAGGATGAACGCCATAGCTACGAGGAACTGTGGCCGATTCACACCATTCCGTTGGAACCTTGCCATATTGAGCCCAGGATTTTCATTAACTCCAAGACCAAGGCTAAACCTCCATCCTTAAAAACCGATGGGGACAGCCCGTCGATCTCAGGAGCCTTATACCTTTTGAGATAATTTACTTCTCGGGTAACCTCTATTTCGGATGGAGGACTGGTGCACAGTTCAACCGGGTATAAGGTCTTGTGCTGACAAGGGCCAGCTGAACTGAGCCTCAAAATGTGCTACGCATCAGATAGGTTGTCAAGGAGAGTGATGTTTGTCGAAGCAGGTACCGGTTGGAAAAAACGCTAAGGAGGCTCAAACGAAGACCTGGGTATGAAAACCTTAACCAGGAGGCTAGGTCACGTTGGTATAGATAGGCTCCTTGGACGGGACCCCGATATTATGGTTACTGAGGGTTAGAGACACTGAGTGATATGGCTAGCTGTCGCAAACAGCAGAGTTCGTGCATCTACTCATTATACTCTTAACACCAGTTTATATAAATTCGCTAGCTTTCGCTTGAATTTGCTCTTAACATTCTAATCTTCATTCTGCTGTTTTATTCAAATGAGCAACCGAAACCGGAGCACGAAAGTGCATGGTTAATGGTTGTAAGAACTGAGCTGAACTGAAGATGGAAACTCACAACCCATGTTTCCGGGCTTGGGGTAGCGAACCGCATGAGGCCTCACCCGGTGTTAGGCTTGCTTTTAACTGAACACTTGGAGTACAACTTACCGGAACAGCTTCTTTCCATTCATCCATAAGATAACGACGGACATCCGTGAGACTTCCATCACTTTCTCTTTCTGCTTGGTAGAGATCTGTGTGCGCCATAAGTCTGACGTACGGCATAATTCCATGCGCTCCATGCGAGAACGCAGGGGAACTATCAATCACCACAAGTTGTTGAAACTTTTCTGGCTTTTTTGGACAAAATGATTATGGCTGGTGCGCGGCATACCTTCAACAAAGCGGCACACATCGCAGTCTTGCCGCCCATGCTGTGACCGACAAGACATAAGTTGTGTAAATCCAGTGTGTTTGAGAGGTGGATGACATCACCGGCCATCTGTACATAGCTCATGTCCGGTGAATGGGGACTTTGGCCATGGTTTCGCAAATCCGTTGTACAGATCTGACCGGACCAGTTGAAATGCCATAAGATCGGACACTTACCGATCCGCACCGCTTTTTATGAAAGGCATGTGACATAGTTTTCCAATTTTGTTTTGATCCAAACAACCCATGGCATATAACCATGCTAGATTTCAGTAGAGGATCTGTAGATCTTAAAAGTGTGTAGGACAGTGCCAGTGGGGAATTCATCTGCAATGAAAGTAGATGACGATAAGGACCATATAATAGTGAGAAATAACAGGCATTCAAAAACTGGATCGTGGAGTACATTCAAGGAACCGTGATGTGATACGGCGTATTGGGCAGCTTGCACATCGGAGCTCCTTCTAACGAACGAGTTTGTTCATTCTGATTTTGCTGTTTTCTGTGGAGAGGATGAGCTTTATCAACGTCTGAAGCAAGGTGTAGATATATAGTTTTAAATACCCTTTAACAGTACAAAGGATTATTTCTACAGACACTTGGAATTGGCAGCCACATTAGCTAAGCTTATAACTCACGATGCCACATCATAAATTATGGCTGGTTGCCCTTCCCATGAAAATCACGAAACGCTCCTATATAGCCAAATGCCTCAAATAGTCTCTGCTAAGGAAGCCCTACACACTATCTTCCCACAAAAGAGAAAACGAAAAGTCAATATCCGGGGCTACAACCGGGTCGATGAACGACTGGTAGTTCATCCAAGGGAGTTGGTTAAAAACTTTGATTTCAAACCAATCAAGAAGAGGTGCACGAACCACACTTTCTTGATTATGGCAGTGGTCATCGGCTCCATTGGGTATTGAGGTGTCCTGGTACGTTAGACGTTTGATCCGTCTAAAAGGCGTTCGATTCGATGAACTGGATATCGGCCCCAGTGGATTGCGGTTTTCGCACACCGCCCCGCTGCCTTGCGGGTTAGGATTTGGTTGGCCGAAGGCTCCATGTGTGAACTCCCCAAGAAAAGTCGTGTCTTGGTCTGGACAACCTGGCAGTATCATGCCCACAAAAAACTATGGAACTCATTCATTTTATAAAGATTATTGTACCGTGATTTGGCATACCGTTTGCATTCAGACGTGTGTGAAATTAACTGAAATTCGTGAAGGACAGCTCTTTATCACTGGCTTTTCCAGTTTTATCATAAAACATCATATTTTCCAGCTGTTGTTTTAATTCTACTACTGCTATCATTTGACACTGGTCCATCATCAGAAACAGAACTGAGTCTCAAGATAATTTGCTTCAAACGGCAAACAAACTACGATTTGCCCATGTTTTACGAACGATGGCATTTCTGATTATAACCGGTGTCCACAACTTCAGGGAAACATCAAAAGGACGTCAAAGATGCTTACACCATGCGTACGTTGCTCGTGTCCTGCAATATCAGACGGTTACTTCCCCTCACAAACGTAGTCCAATAGGGTCTGCACTTTTTATTGAACCACGCCAACGGTAGCTTACAGATACGTGATCAAAGTGCCCGTCGAAAGCTGTTTAAAGTTTGTGCTGGATAAAAACTACCGACGATTTGCGCAAAACTATGGGCAGTCGACCTTCGTTGTCTGTCAGATGGGCGGACAGAGGGAAACGTCCTCCTAGACAAGCTCCAGATGCGCACAATGCGAGATGCTGAGAATATGGGAGTGAGGCCGTAGATATACCAACAAGAGAGGCCACCAAGGACCTCGGAGTCATGGTCCAAACCAACTACTAACCTAGAACACAGTGTGAAAAGGCAGCTCTGACGGCCGCAAGAGCCCTATACCATTGTAGTTCCGGAGGCCCTATTTGGCGAGGGACAAACGTGTTCGAGCAAGACCAAAGGCGATTCGTCAGATAATTCCTCAATTTTAGAGAGAGGAGGCACGATAAAAGAATAGAATACCCGAAACTTTCTGTAGGGCAGCGATGGCCCAATTATAACGTCATCAAATTGACACCCAGAAGGACATGTTTGAATCCCACCAGCACCACCACCTGACTTGACCTATCATATATGGCAACCCTTTGATTGGCCACTGTCCCCTTCAATTAGAGAAAGTAAAAAAGCAAAAGGAGAAAAGACCTCATTGAGGCCTTTAGGCTACTCACAGACCACGAACAGATAAGTGATCCAGCACTCCTTCCGCGAATGAGAACCACAACTTGAGGTCATAGGTTGGAGTTTAAAACGCACTAGGTTCTTGCCCCGGGCACATATAAGCTATGAACGACTGGAACGAACCACGGGGGGGGGGGG